TAAGTGCCGCGCTGGGATTCTAATCCTAGATTCTGACGCTAGAGCCCCAGCATGATTTTCATTCTAAGGCCTCCCATACTCGCTGAACGGTCAAGTCCTTGGCCACTCCGAGCCTGTTTTTTCTTCGGTAAAATGTTGGGATGGGCACGGCTAGTGGGTGGCGGCTCGTGGGAGTGCGTGGTGCCCCACAGTGCTCCAGGCGGGGTGATGGGGCAGGTGTCCTCTCCTGGCCTGCGCGCCGGCCTCCCCTGTCCTGGGGAAAGGCTCCTCTCCTTGGACCCTGCTGCCCTCTGCTGGTGGAGGTCCGGCTACCTGGCCAGTGCCCAGCGGAGGTCCGGAGCCTGGGCTGGGAGTCCCGTCCTGCGTGCAAGAGCCCAGCTCGCCCATTCACTGCTTTTGGTCCCACTCTTTAGCTTTCTGAAACGGTTTCCTCCTCTCTGAAGTGAGGGGATGATGAGGACTGAATGAGGGAGGATGTGCAGAATGTCACTGACAGACTGCCTGGCCAGACAGGGCTCTGTGATGCTCTTCTGGTGGGCAGACAGGAGCACCGGTCCTAGAACAACCCTGTTTCAGATTTGTGGGTGTGAGGGGAGAGCTCTTTGTCTTACATTCAGCAACCCCCCCATCCCCAGCTCCCCTCTTATTTATCTCAATGGGAGAAGCAGGCTGAAGATGCATGCTCCCTCCCCCACTGGTTGTGTCCACATTGGAACTCCCAGGGAGGGTGGAGGATGGAGGTTTGGAAGGCATGGGCCACGTCCTGCTCACTCCCACATGCCCCTGCTTGGTGTTCAGTGTCTGGAACAGGGACGGCACATGGTGGACAGCCAATACGTATTTCCTAAACAAATGCATCAAGTGTCTGCCTTGTGATTAGGACCAGGCTTGGTGTCTCCACAGACGCGAGCCCCACAGGAAATTCCAGCCCATCCTCCTGCCTCCCCTCGGAGGGTCGGAGGGTTGGGCCAAATCTGACCTGTTAAACGGAAGCATTTAGTTGGAGATCAAGCCCTAGAAGGCATGCAGGGTGGCCAGTCAGCTATCCTGCTCTCGTGGATGGTGGATCTCTCTGCCCCTCAGCCTGCTCTCAGGTTTTGTTGGTTCCATCACCAGGGGCTTTGGGATGACTTCCTGGGGGGGCCATGAGTTCTCAGCCTCCAAAAGAAGGGCCCCCAGGAGCAGAAGGAAGCCAGAGAAAACAAAGAGAGTGGCCCAAAGTGGGGTGATCTGGCCGCCGCCCTCTCCTCCCTGCACCCAGATGTGGGGCTCAGGGTGCCGCACAGGCAGAGTGAGAGGGAAGCTTTGTGACTCACGGAGTGTGCCCCACCCTCCCGCCGAAGGATGCCAGGGAGTGCCTGTTCTGGAGGAGGTGACTTGGGGTCCCCACCCCCACCCCTCGCTTTCCCGGCAGACAACCCCAAGGCTGGCGGAGGCGGTGTGGAGACACGAAGACACTGCGGTTTGTGGCTCTTGGCCCTGGCTGGCCTCTGGGCTGTGCCTTCCCTGGGCTCCCACTAGTCTGGCCGCCGCCCTGCCCGGCCGGGTTGTGAGGAACTGAAAGGGGGGCTTGGCGGGTGCGGAGGAGAACAGCAACCCAAAATAACAACCCTGGTTCCTCGGCCAGGCGTCTCCAAGGGCTGCCACTCACTGTGCCCTCCTGTGACACCTGGGTGGCCGTGTGGGGCAGCCTGGCCACATCCACCTCTCCCAGCGCCGCCAACAGGGAAGGGGCTCGCCTTCTCCAAGTTTCTCACGCAGGGGAGAGGCCTGCATTCTTCCCTCACTCTCAGCGTCCCCACCCTTCCCGCAGTCCACCCGGGGCCGCCGCCTTGGCTTCCCAGCCCAGAAGTCACCCAGCCTTGACCTGTGTGGGCTTGTTTCTCGGGTCGTGTCTGGACGTCTGCGGCTGCCCAACTGGTCTCCCGCCCCCGCCCGCCCAGCCATCCTGCCCAGTCTGCCACCAGACTGTCATCTCAAGGAGCCCAATCCAGTCGTTCCCACAGCAGGGAAGCAGAGCCCAGTTCCCTAGCCAAGGGGCCCGTGTAAAGTCAACGGACCCTATGGGGTGCGTGCCGTGCAGGGGAGTGGATGAGTCGGCAGGTCCACGGGCTTCCTGGGCAAGGGGGTGTCTGAGCTGGGCTCTGAAGGATTTGCAGATGGAGGGGGGGATTTGAACAGGCAGTGATCAGGAGGAAGGGCATACCGAGGTGGGCCAACAGCCTGAGCAAAGGCTCAGAGGCTTGGACTGGTCTGTAGTGCTCACCGGTCTGGCTGGAGTGTCAGATGTCCCAGCCTGAGGCAGGGGAGGTGGGCGGCAGCCAGATGTAGGAGAATTCAAGCCCCCAGCTGGGGAAGCTGGATGACCTTCTTTGGGCAGAGGGGCTGCCGAAGGCTCAAGGTGATGTGACTGGATCCGTGCTGGGGAGAATGGCCATGAGGGCAGGGGTGAGGAGGAGGAAGAAGGCAAGGAGATTTACGTGGTAACCCAGGCAGGACTGGGTGTGAGCCTCAGTTCATCCCGCGGGTATTTCTTTAGTGCTTCCTATAAGCTGGCACTGTTTGAGGCACAGAGGAATCCGACAAACCCAGTCTGTGCTCTTGGGGAGCTGGAAGTCCGGTGGGGAGACACACAAGACCGTCCCATAGGGTGATGAGCTCTGGAAGAAAGTAAAGGAGAGCAACCAAGGGTGGGACAAGGCGGAGGGAAAGCCAGTGAGTTTTCCTGACTCAGCTGCTCCCCTGCAGGAACCCGCTGAGACTGGGCACGTGCTGACATCCCCCTCTGCGCGGTGGCCCCAGGAGCCCCCTCCCTGCATACCACTGTATCCTCCGTCTCCCTGACCCCATCTGGCTTCCCCTCTGCGCCGAGAGCAGTTCTTCTCTAACCTTGACCTCCTAGCATGTGTCCCCAGTGAAATGCGGAGAGGGTTGAATTAAAATTAAACATCAGGCCTACCTCTGGTCACGTGACCCTCTTCCTCAGGAAACCTGTCCTTCAAGGCCATCCACTGATTGGGCGAGGCCCACACACATGATGCAAGATCCCCTGCTTTACTCAAAGCCTACTGATTCAAATGTTCATTATGTCTAAAAAAAAATCCCTTCAGGGGCAGCATCTAGGCTGGTGTTTGACCAAACAACCAAACTGTCGCCTAATCAAGTTGACACATAAATTTAACCAGCAAACCTGTTTATTTATCTAATCATCTCATTCCTGATAGAACACTGCCAAGAGATAAAAGGCAAGGAAACGGAACTTACTCCTCCCGCTGTCAGGTGAGAAGACTGAGACTCTCCAGGGACCAAGCACATCACTCCTTCTACCTTCTTGTTCATCCTATCGGCCCCCTTGGCCCACATCCTTTTGTCCCGCCTGCCTTGCAAGACTTCACACACATAGCATCTCAGGCTCTTGGGTCACCACGACGGGACACGTCATCCCCTGTACTCACCGGAGATCCTCTTTCCAGGAAGTGCTTTCTCTCTGGTGACTTGAGGCACAGGGGATTCCAACAAACCCAGTCTGTGCGCTTGGGGACTGGCAATCCAGTGGGGAGACACACAGGACCATGCCACATGGTGACGAGCGGTTGGACCCCTCCTCTGTGCTTATCCCAGGGCATTGCAAACACACCTGGCTTTGAGGGCACAAACCTCGATTCCCTGTGTAATATCCCTAGCCCTGGGGCGCCTGGGTGGCTCAGTTGGTTAAGCGACTGCCTTCGGCTCAGGTCATGATCCTGGAGTCCCGGGATCGAGTCCCACATCAGGCTTCCTTTGCTCTGCGGGGAGCCTGCTTCTCTCTCTGCCTCTGCCTGCCACTCCCCCTGCTTGTGCTCTCTCTGTCAAAATAAATAAAATCTTAAAAAAAAAAAAATATCCCTAGCCCTTGTCCTAGCGTGGGGCACACCAGAGAGCTCCTGAGACACCGGGCTGTTGAAAGAACAAATGATGGAGTCCCTGGTTATCTCAGGGAAGGAGCCCACGCCAGCATCTATGTCTCCCGACCTCTCATTCAGCACCTTGCCCTCGAGTATAGGACAACCTGTCCAGCCCAGCTGTACTTCTTGCAATGTGTTCCCTGCTTCCTGCATGCTCCTTTATGGCCGGCACTGTGCTAGGCACCCAACAAGCATTGTCACTTCCTTCCCATAACAACCCTGTGGGATGGATATGATCGTTCCCATTTGCCAGATGGGATATTGAGGCTCAAAGAGTATAACTCTCATAAAACCGCATAGCTATGGAAAATGGCGGCACTGACATTCGAACCCAGATCTGCTACTGACTCCAGAGATGGAACACTCATCAGTGCCAACAGGCCAAGCCACGTCCTCAACTAGGGGCTGGGGACAAAGAGACAAAGCAAACAAGGGTCCTGATTTCACGGAAGTTGAGGTCTAGTGCAAGAAGATGGATGTGCAAGAAGTCAGCGTGAAGAGCATCATAGCAACATAACCTCAGGGCTCCAGGAACATGGATTTTGGGAAATTAGAGAAGACGGCTGTCTGAGCTGGGCTTGGGGAGGGCAGGAAGGGGAGAATAGGGAATATTCTGGGCGTGGGGTGTGCTTGGCGGGGAGGAGAAATCAGGCTAGAAATCTAGGCCAGGAAATGTTATTTCCCATTCCTGAGCAGTTTATAGTAAAACCTTGGAGTGGAGCCTGTAATCCACGTAGGGTTTCTGGAGCAGGCCAATAACATCATTTCACCTGCCTCAGTTGAGCTCTGTAACCCAAGCCATGAGCCCTCCTCTGGCACAAGTGGTCCTTCTCTTGAGCTGTTTGTCTTTGTCCTTTTCTCCCTTTTTTTTTAAAGATATATTTTTATTTTTATTTTTTCAAAGGTTTTATTATTTATTTGAGAGAGCGAGCACAAGCCAGAGAAGGAGGGATCATCTCTAGACTCCCCGCTGAGCACAGAGCCCCATATGGGGCTTGATCCCAGGACTCCCGGATCATGACCTGAGCCGAAGTCAGATGCCCAACCGACTGAGCCAACCAGGCACCCCAAAGATTTATTTTTAAATAATCTCTATACTCAACATGGGGCTCGAACTCACAACCCTGAGATCAAGAGTCACACGCTCTACTGAGTGAGTCAGCCACATCCCCGTGAAGTGGTCCCTCCCTTGAGCTATCTTTTTTAAATTTTATCTGAGAGAGAGAGCCCACGTTCGAGTGTAGGGAGGAGCAGAGGGAGGGAGAGGGAGAGAATCTCTAGCAGACTCCATGCTGAACACGGATCCCGGCGCTGGGCTTGATCCCACAACTTACCTGAATCTCCAGCCTGCCCTACCGGTGTCGGACTTGCCAGGCACTGTGATCCCATGAGCCAATTCCTTACAATTTCTCTCTCTCTCTGCACATACACACACACCCTATTGGTTCTATATGGTTCTGTTTCTCCGGAAAACCCTAATATAATATTATTGAGTATGTTACATATATTACATCTCTGCAATATTATATATTTATCATAAACAAAAAACCCCCACTTGTAAACCTTTTGTAAGCACTTAATGGGTGCCAGGCACCTGCTAAGCTCTTTGCGTGTCTCTCATGATGCCCCCTTACTCCTCTAAAGGCTCCATGACATCATCTGTGATCGGTCCCATTTCACAGATGAGGATACTGAGGCACAGAGGGTTCAAGTAATTTGCCCAAGGTCCCAAAGTGATAAAGCCAGGTTTGGATCCGGGTAGTCCCATTCCAGTGCCTACATGTGGTGGGTTCTTTTCTGCTATGGAACATGTATGTAAAGCAAGACACGTGACATAACTGGCAAGCAATGTAGTTTTAGTTGTTATAGTTACCACTGGATGGGCAGGGGGCAGGGGGATGGGGAGGGTGTGAGTTGTGGCCCAGGGTCCTGGAAGTGCCAGGTCCCGAAGGTGCAGCCCTGGGAATAGCACTGAACAGGCTGCTTCTGGATGCGTGGGTCCAGGCTGGGAGCTGGGAGTCTGGGAGTCATTTTTAGGGGACTCCAGGAGTAGCCCTCTACAGGGCAGGTGGGCTCTGGAAGCCCCTTCCTCAGGCCTTGGGCGGGGGTTACGCTCTAGTCCAGGGATTACAGCCCCAGGGTCAGGGGCCCGGCCTTGGTGGTGTCCATCTGTTTGAGGTGCAGTTCGGTGATCACAGCCTCGGGACTGGGTCCAGCCCAGCCAACTGGGCAGCTCAGCGCCCAGCTCCTTCCTGAGCTGCTGGGGGGGTTGGGGCAGGGAGGGCCTCAAGATGTCAGGTCACCACGCAACAGCTCCGGGTAACCCTCCTCCAGAAGTTGCGACTGCGGCTGCTGAGGGCCACCTGCGCTGCTTCCTGGAAGACCGCGTGGACGTTTTCTTGGAGCAGGGCTGAGCACTCGAGGTAGGCCACTGCACCCACGGACCTCGCCATCTCCTGGCCCTAACAGAGAGAATGGAGGGGGCTGCCTTGAGGTGGCGGCCTCTGGGCAGGGGGAGAGCTCACATCCCGCCTCCCCATAGCCCTCTTGGCCATCCTAGGGAGTCTCCAGGACAAAAGTGGAAGGTGAGTTTTTCCAGGACACCCACAGCTCCTGCCCCTGGGTTGACCAAGCACTCTCATGGCTTCCTTGGGTTTCCTGCCTCAGTTCTGGGATGCGTCCCTGCCTCTCAAGGCACCAGCTAACCCACTTCACAGATGTGTAGCAGAGAGGGGCCTATGGCCTGAAGAGCTGTGGCCTCAGCTTCCCTATCTGTGAAGTGAGTGGGTAGGATTACCTGAATGGGCACACCACCCGCTCTCCCTTCCATAGGCAGAATCTTCTAGAGTATTCTAGGTACCATTTCCAAGCCCAGACCATTCCAAGATGACCCCTACCCTAACCCACCCCCTGAGTGTGCTGGACGCTGCTGAGAGGCTGGGCGGGATCAGCATACCCCGAGGTTCCCCCTCCCGGGACCCACTCCCCACCCCTGGGCTGGGTTTCCTACCCTGTGGTAGGTCACAGGCTCCAACCTATTTTTCCGCAGCTTCTTCACCAGCAACTTGTCCTTGCGCAGGTCAGTCTTGCAGCCCACGACAATGATGGGCACCTCCTTGCAGAAGTGGTTCACCTCTGGGTACCACTGCGGGGAGGGTGGCAGTGCGGGTGTGTGTGTTAGCCAATGGGATTGCTGTCCCTCCCCACAGATGGGGAGAAAGGGCCACCCTCTCACTCCCCAGGTGGACTTCAGCAACGATTATCAGCGCAGCCAACATTTAGGGAGAATTACTCTGTGCTAGGCTCTAAGACTTCACACGTATGAACTCTTCAATCCCCCAAGTCCCTACAAAGCAAGTTCTGTCATCAGGCCCATTGTACAGAGTGCAGTAACTGAGGCTCGGTGAGGCTATATAACTTGGCCTTGGTCACACAACTGGAAGTGGCAGGATTTGAGCCCAGGGGCTGGGGCCCAGAGCCCTGCTCCCGCATGGTCTAGAATCCTGCCACTCTGCAAGGTAAGGGGCCCCAGGACCGCCTCCCAAGTGGGTAAAATATATGAAGAAATAAGTCATCCTTTAAAAATAAAGCAGCTCACAAAATGGTTGCAGCAGCTGTTTGCCTGTTGGAGGGAACACTCCTATTCTGTGTCAGCTGCTCTCTGGAATGCGAGGCTCCGGGGCCTGGTTATTTCAGCCTGGGCAGCAACTGGGGAGTCTAGAATCCGGAGACAGGGGATTTATATCTCCAGGAGTGCATGCCTACTCAGTTTGTCTGTTCAGAAAAAACTGGCATCAAACCATCTGGCTCCCGGAGCCAGATGGGGCCCGGGTGGGGTCCTGGGCTTACTCCCCATACTCCAACCCCTCTACAAAACTGCGCCTGATCCTGGTCTCCCCCGTGACTTCACCTTGCTAAATCCAACACTGAATCCTCAGCCTTCATCCTGTCTGAGCCCTGGCACCAGGCAGGGATCTCTCCCTCCTCTACCGCCTGGTTGGCACTTTGCCCTAGGACCCTGCTCTCTTGCTTCTCTCCAGGTGACCTTCCCATGTGCAAGGCTCTTCCCCACCAGTGCTTCCTAAATGGATCTGCCCAGCTCAGCCTGGCCCTCTCCCGGGAGCTGCAGACTCAGACCTCCAGGTCTACCTGGCCCTCCACTGCGATGTCCAACAGGCCCCCATCTCCCACCTCCCTACCCTCCACTTGCTCCTTCTCATCTTGGGAAATGGCAAGGCCGCCTTCCACTCGCTCTGGTCAAAACATCTCTCCCACTCCCAACCTGGGGATAATACTACTGTTGGCTCTATCAGGTTGTTAGGGGCAGTAGATGAGTGAATGGGCAGAAGTGCCCAGAACGGTGCTTGGCCTGAGCGAAGTTCTCAGTCAACATTACCATCGCTGTTGGGGTTCATGTTACTCATGCCGTCACCCGCTGTGCTCTGATGAACCCCTGGCACGCTGTTTGCATGCCCTTCACCTGGAGGCCCCGGCGGCAGCAGGGCAGGAGCAGAACAACTCAAGGGCCCACACCCCTGGCACCTGTGGGCAGTGAGCAGCCTTGGGAACCCCTGACATGCCTGGGGGGCATCTTGGGAGGCTGCTGAAAGCTACCAGTTACACAGAAGGGGGCTGCCCATACATGCAACCTCGGGCAGGCCCAGGCTGGGGAGATGCGGGGCCTCTGGGTGACCCAGCATACTCAGGTAGGTCACGGTGGAAAGAGCCACAGCATTCTCAGTCCAGACCCTGCCACCAAATCCCTAAGGGACCTCTGGCAAGTTGCTGCCTCTGCTCTGGGCCTCAGTGTCCCCATATACACACCAAAGGTGCTGGATTCGATGTCATCCGGGGCCTGCTACGCTCTGACAGGCTGCGGAGTCAAGGCTGGGGACAGAGCAGGGTGGCCTGGCTACGGGGGCTGTACCTCCCCGGGGCCCTGGTACCTACCCGGTTGAAGATGTTGTCAAAGCTGTGCGGGCTGGTGACATCGAAGCAGAGGAGAAGGACACTGGCGTCGGGGTAGAAGAGGGGCCGCAGGCGGTCATAGTCAACTTGCCCTGGGGAGAGTGGGGGTGGGCACTCCCTTCAGATCTTCCCCAACATCAGGGAGGTCATCCCAGCAGATGGGGGAGCCCGGATCAGGGCGTGGTTGTGTGCCTCGTGGTCTGATTTAAATGTGGTGCCTGGGTGGCCACTCCACGTGAACGTTTCCCTCCAGGCAGTATTCCCCTGGCTTGCCCGTAGGCTGTGTTAGCCCTGGTCTGGGTGAGACCACTTGCTGAGAGAGCCCTGTTCTGGTAGGAGTCGGAGACAAGGCAGAGGTCTCGCCTGCAGGGACAAAGCCTGCTTTGCCCTGGGCTTTGCCCTGGGCTTGGGGGGTGAGGAGTAGGAAGCAGGTAGGACCCAGGACAAAGGCCCCTTATCCCCTGCATGGTCAGGGGGCTGCTGGGATACCCTGGGGTGAGCTTTCAGTTCTGGTGTGGATTTGACTGAACCCTATGTGGATAAGGTCAGGAAGCTGGAGGGCAGAGGTCAAGGTCAGGCAGATCTTACAAAAGCTAAAGCCAGGGTGGAATGCTTAGGAGGCCAGGAATAGTTTACCCCTTGAGAGAAAAGAGCTCTGGATCCCCCTTGTCTCCAGGACACAGTTGGCTACCCTCTGTTGGGGGAGGCAGCGGATGCAGGCGCAGGAGCAAAGAAGGTTCAGGTTCCTGGGGACCCTAATCCTGGCCAACACCTGTCCCTGGGAGATTGGTGAGACTGGCTGGGCCTCTGTGGTTCAGGAGGAAGGGGGCAGGGCTTGGCTCCTGGGCATGGGGGGCCCCCGCCTCCCACCTGCACACCCACCTGCTGTGTCCCAGATTTGGAGGTTCAGGGGTTTGCCCTTCATTTGCAGATTAACGGCGAGCCGCTCAAACACAGTGGGGGTGTAGCTCTGAGGAAGAAGGGGGCAAGGCGGAGGCTGTGAGGACAGCTGCTGAAGCAGGGTGGGCCCCGGTGCCCAGGCCAGAGCCCTTGAATGCCTGTAGCACCTCCTGCCCCTTCTTTGGGAGTCTGACAGTCTGAGGGAGGGAGTTTCTGGGAAGTAGGTGGCCAGTGGGGGTGAGGCCTAGAGCTGCCACCTCCTAGCTGTTTGCCCCAGTGCGGCACGGAACCTCCCCAGGCTTCTCAACTGTAAAGTGGGACTATGAAAAGCCCCTACGGCAGCGTGTTGCCGTAAGGATTCAGAGCAGAGCCTGGCACACGCTAAGCACCCCACATGTACCAGCTACTGTTATTTTTATCTTTGTCCCCTTGGATGGGGGACTGTCCCATTTCTGAGCCTTCCTTCATGCTGTCCCCTCCTCCTGGAATGACATTAACCTACATTTGCTCGTTCGATTGTTCATTCATTCATTCATATATTCATTCAGTAAACAGTGGCACCTTCTCTAGATAGCTCCCCAGATCTCTGGATACTGGGGAGCAAGTAATAAATTAGACTCACTGCCTACTCTGGGGAGCTTGTGGCTTTGAGGGGGGTCCCTGCTTTGCTTCTCAACCTCTCATAATCCAACCAAGACCCCTGCCCCATGCCACCTCCCGCAGGAGGCCCTTCTAGATCCCTTCCCACATCCTCTCCATTTCTGCCTTTTTTTTTTTTTTAAAGATTTATTTATTTATTTGAGAGAGCGAGAATGAGAGAGAAAGAGAGAGTACATGAGAGGGGGGAGGGTTAGAGGGAGAAGCAAGCTCCTTGCTGAGCAGGGAGCCCGATGCGGGACTCGATCCAGGGACTCCAGGATCATGACCTGAGCCGAAGGCAGTCGCTTAACCAACTGAGCCACCCAGGCGCCCCTCCATTTCTGCCTTTCTTGTCAGCCCTGTCTGGCATCAGGAGGAAGTCACTCGGGCCCCAAGCCCTGCCACCCCAGGCGGAGAGCCTGACACACTCCCTCTCCGTAAAGGCTGGATGAATGGAAACAGGATGGGTTTGGTACACCAACAAAATGCAGGAATGAGAAGGGGGAACGTGCAACAGGTGAGGAGGTTGTCAAAACTCGACCACGACACAAGCCCTTTGCTGGAGTGGCACGCTGGACCAGCTACAGCTAGGGTCCCCAAGGCTTGCTCACTTGCTCAGGGTTGGTCGGTGGGGCCACAGCATGGGGAGACCCTGGCCTCCTGTCCTCCCCACTTCCTAGGCCAGGTGGCGCCCGTACCTGCCTTGACTCAGGCGGACTTCAAGCCGGTCTGCCTGCCTGCCGCCGGCACTGAGTCAGGCCCTGAGCTGCTGGAAGGGGCAGCCCCTTAGTGGTGGGTCAGTGTGGGCCTCCAGGCCACTTGGGGAGGTACAGGGGGAGGGTGGGGAGAAAGGTGAGTCCCAGAGTGGGCTATGGAGAAGTCGAGGATGGCCCTGGGATAGGGGTTCAATCCGCCCTGGACTCTAGTCACCTGTCACTCCCTCTACTCGGAGGTACAGACAAGGGCTCCACCTACCTCCCCAGCGCCCGGCCTGCCCAGGGCCCCTCCCTTCGGGTCCCCTGCCTGGCGGGAGACAGTGGGACATGATGGCTATAGCACTAGCTTTGGACTCAGATGTTCCTGGCTTAGGACGGGCTCTGGCCCTCACCAGCTGTGTGACCTTGGGCCTGTCCCCTCACTGGTTAGAGGAGAAGAGTGTCCCTTTACAGTGTGATAGGGGAGGCCACGCCAGCTGCTGTCCATCCCTCCAGGTGGTGTGTCCTTCCCCAGCCTGTCACCATGGAAGGGACTGACACCTGGGTCCACTCACCCACCTCCCACCTGTGGCAGGACCCCTCCTGATCTGAGGTGGAGGGCAGCCGGCCACGAAGCTCTGGGGAGGCATGTATCAGCACTTTGCAAATGCCTGTGGAGATGACCCTATCATCCACATTTTTTGGGGATCTACTGTGCATGGCCCTCCACCTGGTCTCTGATCCCTGTAGTCTCAGGAAGTTAGTGCCATCCCCATTTTCCTGATGACACAGCAGGGAGGTGACTTGCCCAGGGTAACACAGTGCCAGCTGGCTATGGATGGAACCGGGTCTTTCTGGCTCAAGAGGCCAGGCTCGGGGGCGCCTGGGTGGCTCAGTCGTTAAGCGTCTGCCTTTGGCTCAGGTCATACTCCCAGGGTCCTGGGATCGAGCCCCGCTCAGGCTCCCTGCTTGGCGGGAAGCCTGCTTCTCCCTCTCCCACTCCTCCTGCTTGTGTTCCCTCTCTTGCTGTGTCTCTCTCTGTCAAATAAATAAATAAAATCATTAAAAAAAAAAAAAAGATGCCAGGCTCTGTCCCAGGCCATTGGCCTCTCCTGAGGTCACCGACTCTCCAGCCCCTGGTATCAGGAGTGGACAGGAAAGCCCCATTCCAGACTGCGTGGCTTTTAACTGGCATAACCTCCCCCTCCCCCCCGCCATAGACTTTGTCTACACTCTCTGTTGTGTTCTTCGAGCCACCAGGCAGGGTCACTCTGACCACTAAGTGTCTAATCTTATCTGTTGAGCTGTTCTTTGCCAGAAAGGCAGGGCCAGGTCTGAGCCAGACCAGGGGAGAGGTGACTCAGGCTTGGGTCTGCCCTCATGGGGCTCACAGACAGACAGATGGATCATTGCAGGATGGGGGAACGTAGTTCAAGAGAGGAGAGTCAGGGGTTTCACACCCATGAGAGTCCCTGTGCGGACCAGGAGGGACTGAGCTGGTTCTGGAAGGCAGGGCTGGTCCTCCCTGCCCCCTCCTCTCCCCACCCTTCTGTGAGACCCCTGGGCTTTGGAATGATTGCTAATCCAAACGTCAGCCAGGACTGGGCAGAAGCTGGTGCCCAGCCTGGACTTCCCTCTACCTCAGGAGTCTCTCTACTCTGCTCCCTGGCTTTGAACCCGAGGCTGGGCCACAGCCAGACAAGGGTTCCTGAGGCCCCTTCAAATCCCAGCCTACTCTCTGCTCTTTGGGGGACTCGAGGTCTTCTAGCTGCTGGTTCCCTGAGCTTGGAGGCCTGCCAAGAGGAGGAGTCTCGGGGCCGGAGCAGAAGGCTGGTCTGGCAGGCAGAGCACTGGGGACTGTGGAGTGTCCTGGTCAGGGGTGGGGAGATCTGGGCTCTTGACTTGCACTACCACTGGGCCCTGCTCCCCAAGGCAAGACTGTCTCTTAGCTTCAGTTTTCCCACCTCTAAAATGAGGCCTTTCTGGTGCTTGGACCTTGTGGTTCTTTTAAAAGAAGCTTCTTTCTCGTGCCTGGAAGTAGAGGGGTCCTCTAACAGATGAGGAGCCTAGACAATGACAGGTCCATCTCCCTGGTGACAAGCATGTCCTCCCTTCCCCTGGCCAGGCCCAGCCTGCCCTTCAAAACACACATTCCATCAACTTCCAGATGCCCATTTCCATGTTGCAACCTCTCTGGAATCAGGATGAGCCTTGCCATCAAGGATGTCTCAGGGCCCGGGACACCCCTCCCAGCCGGTCTCCTAGACCCTGGCTGGCCTGATCCCTCTCCCCACCATGCCATAATTGTTGGGTTACTTTGGGCAGTGCCTGGGGGCCTAGAAACTTGTCCCACCCAACTTAAAAAAATTGTGACTGGCCAGAGGAGGTGACGTCAGCTCCATAAACCACAAAGCAAGAGTTGGCTCGATGCTGCCACAGTGAAAAGGAAGGTCTGACACTTTTACCAGGCCTAGCCTCTCCTGCCTCCCCCATCAGACTCCCAGGGGCCTGCAAAGCCCAGGGGTTTGGAGGATGATGGGACAGGCAGGAGGAGATGAGATGCTGGAAGCAAACCCATGGACTCCCAGAACTGGGCTGAACGGTGGCAGAGTGAGTGGGTCCAGCCCCCGTCCTGGTGCCTGGGAGCCCGCCTGGACAGACTGAGCACGCTAGTGAAGGACTGACAGCCAATGTGCCCAGCGCGTCCAGGATGTCCAGGCACACACGGGCTGTCTCTCAGCCCTACCCTAATTCCACCTCACTGGGTCACTGCCCTCTGAGGTTGTGTGAGGAAATGGAGGCTCGGAGAGGGTAAGCAAGGTACCAAGGGCCACAAGGTTTGTTAGAGGAGAGCTGAGGTGCCAACCAAGCTATCTGACTTGAGTCTGGTGTGCTCTGACCTCCACGACAGAGCCCACCAGAGGTCCCTTGTACATGCAAGAGCTGGTGGAGAAGAGATATTTCCCAAATTTCAGTGAGTCCTTCTTGCTGCAGACTCAGAGCTGAGCCCTTGACCTGTGTTAACTCACTCTTCACAGTGACTCTGGAAGGTGGGCACCATCCTTACTCCTATTATGTGGTCAAGAAAACAGGCACAGAGAGGGTAGGGGACTTGCCCAAGGACACACAGCTTTAAGTGACAAAGCCATGATTCGAACCCAGGCAAGTCTGGCTCCAGTGCCCTTAGTCCCTCCCAGCCATGCTGGGCCACCAAGGGCTCTCTTAGGATCTGCGGTGTACCCAGGTTGCCTAAGTCAGTCCCTGTGACACCTCTCCCAGGGAGGTGCCATTCTTGCCACTTTACAGTTGCTACTACTGAGGCCCTCGCTTCCGATGGCGGAGCGAGAACTGCCTTTGAGCCCACACTCCGCCGGGAGACCCCTCGGAGGGCCCGGTGGGTGCACCGGGACGCGCGTGCGGAACTCGCCCGGGAGGCCGGGCGCGCGAGGCAGGGGCGGGGGCGCGGGGCCCGGAGGGGCGGGCACTCACCTCGGGGAAGGCCCCCTCGGCGAAGACCATCAGCAGCGACGTCTTCCCGCAGCCGCCGTCGCCGACCAGGACCACCTTGACCGACCGCGCGCCCTGCGGCGCCTCGGCGCCCGCGGCCTGGGCCGCCTTCATCGCGAGCGGCGGGCGGGCGGGCGGGCGGACGAACGCGCGGGCGGGCGGGCGGGCGGGCAGCGGCGCGGGGCGGCCGGCGGGGCAGGAATGTGGAAGGGGCGGGGCGGCGGGAGGAAGTGCGCGCCGGGCGGCCGGGGGCGGGGGCGGGGGCGGGGGCGCGCGCCCAGGTGAGCGCCCGGAGGCGGGGCGAGCGGCGGGGCTGGCCCCTCGGGAAACCCTTCTGGAGCCCCTGCGGAGGGGGCACAGGACGGGGTCCCGCGCTCAGCCTGCGTCCTCGGGAGGGCACCCGGGTCCGATGGGGAGAAGACAAGGGGCCGAACGATGACTGTGTGTGGGGAGGGTGGACAGGGGAAGAGGAGGCACCTGGCCCGCTTCCCCTGGGAGGAAGGAGGCGGGGGTCAGCCAGGTGAGCCTACCAGCTTTAAAGGGACAAGAACTGGGTCCCCGGTGCCCAGCGCCGGTCGGCCCTGAACAAGAGCCAGTGACTTTGGGTGAATGAATGGATGAGTGAAGGAAAGAATGTGCATTTCCCCCAGGGCTCTGGAATCAGAGCCCACCACAATCCTCCCTCCAGATGTGTAAGGCCAGGTGGGAAGGGGGGGACCCGGGCACACCCTTATGGGTCAGTTGCTGCCCTGCCCCAGCCAGCACCAGGAAGTTTCGATGCAGGTGGGTCATTGACCACCTGTCTCAGCTCTGGCTGGGGCATCATCTAAGGAAAGTGAGGGAACCTTCCACCAATAAAGTGCTTAGAGTAGGGTCTGGTGCATGGCTGGTGCATGTTAGTGATCCTTACTCTTTAACCAATACCGATGCCCAAGAGCCTGCGAACCTTGAACACTTCAAGATGAAGTCCCTATCTTGAGAAGCTCACCTCTAGAATGGGAGACAAGCAGGACATTGGTGTGGTAAGAGCTACAGTAGAGATGGGGACAGGCAGTGGGACAGCAATAGGGAAGAGGGGCTGGTTCCTTACCTGGGGGGGGGGGGGCAGGGATCAGGAAACCCTTCTAAGGAGAGGGGCCAGAGTCTTGAAGAAAAAGTGAGATAGTCAAATGGGGGAGGGGGGGAGAAAGGTGGTCCAAACTGAGGGAGCAGCACAGCCAAAGTATGGAGGCAAGAGAGAGGGGGCACTTTGAGGGGGTGCTGTGGTCCTTCCCTGTGATGGAAGGTGAGGTCAGCCTGGGGAGCTGGTGCCAGGAGAGGCTGAGATGCCAAACAGGGCCTGGATAGTGGAGCATTTTGGATGCTGGGAATAAATACAGAACTGAACTGAATTGAAATCTTTTGAAAATGGGCACAAGGCTCTCCCCAGATCCTGGATTGAGTGCTTTCAGTGAAGCTCAAAGGAATAGACAGTAGAATCTTTGGGTTTCACACACCCTTCCCCATGCAGGTCATGACGTCATCCCTTGTGGAGTTCAAAGCCAGGCAGGTGGAAAAGCACCCTCAACCCATGTTGAACCTCACTGGGGACCAATGAGGCAGCTGGGGCAGGAGTCACTATCCCCATTGCAAAGAGGCAGAGCCCAGACCCCTGACTCTTATTCCAAGCTCAGCCAGGGCCACAGTCAGCAGGAGGGATGGAGCCTCATCTGGATGGAGGGAGCATCTCATGACATCCCCACCCTTTAGGTGCTCTTTCCTCCCCGAAACTGCCAAAGGGCTGAGCAATGACTTGGCACTGAGCTGGGTGTGTAGCCACCGAGCAGGGCTCCCCGCCCCAAGGAGTGGTGGGAGGTGCCCCGTCCCCCAGGGATCAGCTGTCAGCCTTGTCATCCTCTATTCTCCCCACTGCTGCTGTCATCGGGCTTTGGGTGACAAGGCTAGGAGGCAGGTGGGGCCAGACTGGAGGTGGAGGGAGCTGAGAGTCAGGCAGAGGCGTTTGGCCTTGGTTGCTATAGTGATAATCATTATAATGACATCCTTGACGTATGTCATGTCTTACAGTTTCACTGAACATTTCCTAAGAATAACAACGCCCATTAATGGATAGCTAACTGTGTGCCCGCACTGTCCCCTAGCAGGTGGAAATTGTTAGCCCCATTTTACAGATGAGGAACCCTGGGGGGCAGAGGGGTTAAATTCTTGTCTAAGATCCACAGCTACTAAGAGGCAGAACTTGAGTTTGAATCCAGGTCTGGCCACACAGCAGGTCTCTTTCGTGACATCACACCTCATGTGCATTATTTCATTCAGCCGTCAGACTGTGACGTGAGCAGAGCAAGTGATCTGCTTCCTTCATTCTACAGATTTGGGAACTGAGGCTCAGGATGTTATGTCTGATTGACTGCCTGGCTGGACAAAGAGGGGAAAGGAAGGAAAACAGAGCAGGGAAGAGAGGAAGGAAGGTTGGTTGACTCAAAAGAATAAACAAACTGGAGAAACGAAAAAGGACCAAACGACCACCTAGGTGAGAATACAGTGCATGACCTGATGGCAGGGGCAGCAGGCAGGTGACCACCTTCCAGCCTCCATGCGCTCCAGTGCCCCCTGGCCTTGTCACCTTTGCCGCATTTTTGACCCCCCGACCCCCTTCTCCCTGAGGCCAGGAGTCCCCTGGGGCCCCAGCCGAGTCTCTGCTGCCGCCTCGTGGCTGCTCCGTTCCCTGCACCATCCCGGCCCCGGCTGCCTGTTCTGCTGGGAGTTCCTGGCTTGGGGTGTGGGGTGCTTATGAGTGGTTGACGGAGGGGGAAAGTGGATGCCGGGGGGTAGAGTGGAACTTCAGAGGTCCAGTGCCCCTGGGGATGGCTTGGCAGGGTCCACAGACCCTTTGCTCCTCATGCCTCCCTCTGTGCCCTCCCCTCCCTTTCAGCTCAAACACCAGGTCTCAAGAGATCTTGTCTTTGGCCAGAACTCTTCCACCCGAAGCCCTGACCTCCTGTTCACTGAGCATCTCCTGAATGCCAGACACTTGGCGTGTGTCACTTCATTCCATCCTATTATGTATAATTCTTATCCTCCTTTGATAAGTAAGGAAACTGAGGCCCAAAGAGGACAGATGATTTGCCCAAGATCCCACAGCTGGTAAGTGGGCGAGCTGGGATTCTAACCCAGGCATTTGGGGTCTAGAGCTCCTACACACAGAATCCCCGAAAGCCAGAGGGGGGGGGGCTTCAGAGGCCTTTCTGACCAACACATTTATTCTTCAGATGGGGAAACTGAGGCTCTCTAGAGCAAGGGACCTGTCACACAGCAAGTAAGCTGTAGGCCCAGTCTATGGCAGGTGGAGCCTGTTCTCTGGTTTCCATCTGTCTGGCCTCCGTCAGATCCACTCGACTCCAGCTATCATTTAACTGGACTCCTATCCTCACCTCCTCTCCCTGACCTGCCATTATGGATCCTGGCGGGTGGAATGAGAAGGTTGATAATGGGGTGGAAGTGGCAGAGAGTGAGGGGGCCCTGTGGCCCATCTTTTTTTTTAAGATTATTTATTTATTTATTTATTTGAGACAGAGAGAATGAGAGAGAGAGAGAGCACATGAGAGGGGGGAGGGTCAGAGGCAGAAGCAGGCTCCCCACCGAGCAGGGAGCCCGATGCGGGACTCGATCCTGGGACTCCAGGATCATGACCTGAGCCGAAGGCAGTCGCTTAACCAACTGAGCCACCCAGGCGCCCCCTGTGGCCCATCTTATGTTTATTTAGCCTTTCTGTTTGTCCCTTTGGGCACCTGTCGGCATAGTTGGCTGAGGCAGGAGAGAGGAAGTGAAGCTCTGAGCGGCTGCGGGCGCTAGGCTGGCTCACCCCACCCCTCCCACACGCAGGCGTGGCCCAGTGTGGTCAGGTCACTGACCTCCATACCTGTCCTCTTGGATGCAGTGCGGCCTGTCCCGGAAGCATCCCAGACGAAGGGGGCCTGGGACCCTCGAGCCCTGTGGGAGGCAGGCCTCCTGGGGACTGCTGGTGATTTCCACCTAGATCATCCTCCTATACTTGCTGTGATCTTCCAGGGCAGGGGAGGGAGAAACTAGAGCAGCCTGGGGGAGTTGGGGAAGGGGGCAGTGTGGCCTGACGGTTAAGAGCATGAGCTTCGGAGCCAGACAGCTGGAGCTTGAGTCCCAGCTCTGAGGCTTTCTGGCTGTGTGATCTTGGACTAGTTACCTAACTTCTCTAAGCTTCTGTTTCCGGACCTGCAAAAAAGGGGATGACAACAGTACCTCCCTCTGGGTAGGGAGGGATGCAGGATTGCAGCCTGGCACTGGCACCCACTGAACTTGGACGACCCTTTTCTCCCTTTCTTTTGGTTCTCTTCTCCTCAGCCTCCCCCAAATTTGCTCTCGCAAGGTTGACGAGTTGGCCCATTTTTTGCCCGCTCCTGCCCTTTTGTGTATTGTTCCCTCTTCCAGAAATGCTTTTTTGGCCTTGTCTACCTTTTTCAACCTTATGGTTCTTCTTGCCCTGAAGACGGCTCAGCGACACCACCAGGAAGCCCTCCGTGGTATTCTCTATTGCCATCCTCCCCACCAGGCCTGGCTCAGGGCCCCTTCTCGGAGCTTCCCAAGCAGTCTGATGGCATTGGTCCTTGTGATGGCCTCCCCAGCCAGACGGGGGCCTCCTTCCCCTCTGCGTACCCAGCAGCAGGGCGGTCCACTCAGAGCAACCCACACAGAGACCCAAGTCCCTGATTCCTGGAGAAGAGACCAAGGTGATTTGGGGCTGAGCCAGGCTCCCCGGAAGCCCCCTCCTTCCTGCCCCAGCTTTATTTTGGTTCTAGAATCATTCCAGTCAGCAGACTCGGTCCCCACCGTGCCCGTCCCCGGTACACAGTCCACAGTTCATGCAGTTAGAGGGAGGGAAGGAGGGGGAAGAGAAGGGGGGTGTAAATGGCCTGCCTGTGCTGCTTAGTCACTGGGGCAGGAAGAGTCTGGGTCGCCCCGGCTGCAGAGGCTCACCAGCGGTGTCCCTGGACCCCGTGCAGACCTCCTGGTGCCGGCCCCAGGGCTGGGCCACAGCCGTGTCAGGTGGGGAGGGCCACAGTTCTGCCTCCAGTCCCATGACCACCCTGGGCTCTCCCAGCCGCACTGGGTGGGGGGGGGCGCTGGTTGGGCCTGGGTCTCCCTAGCTCACCAGTGCCAGAGGCAGCCAGCCCGAGAGCCCTGCCCTGACCTGTGGGTGGCCCCAGGGAGCAGATACCACCCTCCCCCACCCCATCCCTCTGAACTGGCAGGGGCACCCACCCCTCAGCTGCCTGCTTCTCTGAGGCCGCCTCTGGTGGATGGGGGCTGCCTCAGCCAGGGACAGCTGGAAAGTATGCACGCTCTTCCTCAGCTGGGGGGTGGGGGGTGGTAGCCAAAGCCCTGTGGGGGCTAAAGAGCCCAGCCCCTTTGCTTCTCGGCAGGACCCCTCTGGGGGGCCAGTCACACAACAGAGGTCCTCAGGCCATCAGGCTAGAGCTAGACACTCCGGAAGCCATAACATGCTTAGCTTCTGCCCCTGCTCATGGCTTTCCTCTCTGCCCTCCAGTCTTCTCCAGAGGGAGAAAGGCTCCCTGCCCCCCTCCCAACCAACCCCTTGCCTGAGAATCTCAGGATCCGCTTCTAGAACTTGACCTAGGACACTGGGTGCCACCTCCTTCCCAGTCTGGCATTCAAACTTGCTCCCCTCCCCACCCCACTGCTCTCAATCCGGATGCCCCTCGACTTCCCCTCACTGTCCCTGCTCAGACCGCCCCTTTCCTCCAAGGCCCACAAAGGCCTCTCCCACGGACCCCCTGCAGTCTGTATTCTGCCTGCCCCGCTGCCCACCAGCTACCCACAGGCTGAGGCATCTTTCTTCCCAATAGGGCCTGGCCTGGAGGTATGGAGCCAATGCCTAATTCAGTTGGGACCGAACACAAGGACCTCTGGGCCTTGCAAGGGTTATGGATCAAGGGAGCGGATTTCATAGAGCGTGACTCCAGAGCCAGCATCCACCTGCAGGCCTCTGCTTGGCCTAGTCTCCTGGTCACTTCTCCTGCCCAGAGGCTGAGGACAGGTTGTGTCGGGGAAGTTCATGTCCACCTTGCTTGGGCTGGCTGCCTGCCTGCGATACTCAGTTCCTCTCCTGCCCCTCAGGGCACGGCTCCCATCTTGTCCCTGCAGCCCCCAGAGCTCTGCCCTGGCCGCGTCCAGCACTGAGTGGATCCCCAGCACAGGGGGGTCTTGTCTTCCGGCCATCCTAAGGGCCGTGTCCTCTTCATGTCATGTCTGCTGGTGTCTAGCACAGCGTCTGGCCCCCGAGACTCACGAGTTTCCCGTACATGACCCAGCTTAGCCCTGGCCTCCCAGCAGGGGTGGGGCGTGGAGAGCCCTGAGAGACTAAGCCCCAACACCCCAGGCCGAGGGACAGGCCGGTTGGGGATCTCAAAATGGGAGCATGATGGGCCAGTGCCAGGCTGCCTTTCCTGGGTCGTGGCCCAGTTCCAGCTGGCCCTCCGTGGGAGAAAACCCTGGGTCCCTAGACACCTGGCCAGGCCCACTCCTCCATTGCAGTCTGGACAGAAGGACCAAGATGGCTCATGGGGGCTCCGGTGGGGGACCCCAGCACTCACGGCTCCCACTGGACTAGGGAGGGGCATCGGAGCTGAGCATGGGCCAGGCCCCGGGCAGCTCGGTGCCCACCCCGGCCCGTTTTGCTGACTGCTAGTTTCGCCGAACGGCGTGCCACATGGACACGGGCCTACGCAGCGTGGCCAGCATCTGGTTCCAGTGTGTGGTGCCCATGCCGCTGGCTGACGGCCCGATAATGACATGGCCCACGTTGTCCCCTCGGCCGTCACTGCTGCTCTCAGCCACCGTCACACGGAGAGACAGGTCCTGGGGAGGAAGTGACATGGGTGCTGGGGCCCGGGTGCCAGGTCCCAGCGGGGGCCAGGGGTGGCTCCCTGAATCCTTACCCCTGATCTGCTTAGCCCCCCGGCTCTGCTGCTGCCTCCCTACACAGTGGCAAGGCTGGACTACCAGCTTCAAACGCTGGCCTCACCACCTGCCTTGCCATGGGACCTGGGGCAGTGACTTGGGCTCTTCCCACCTGAGTGCCCCATCTGTGAAATGGTAATAATACTAGTTCCTACCTGTTCTGGGAACAAAATAGGTTAAAATGTGTCAAGTGCTTAGAATAGCCTGCACACGGAGTATTTTAGATGTCTCATTATTCCTAATATAATCCCGTGTTGGACTCACAGTTGAGGAAGGAAAAGAATGTGCCTGAAATCAAAGTGGTTGAGCTGGAACTGAAACCCAGCCTGACCTCCCTCCGTCCTCCTCCTCCTCCTGCCCCTCCTCCCCCACCTTCCCCCTGGTCCCAAGAGGTCTCCTGCTCTCAGAGGCTGTGTAGTAACACAGAAGGGGACAGGTGGACAGTCTGTCCCATGAGGGTGGCAGGACAAGGCAACACCCAGCACCAACCAGAGATGCTGGGACGTTTGCCTGCCTCGGGAACTCTCGGACGGAGGAAGAGCTCTGGGCTTCCAAATTCAGATGGGGTGTCAGAGCCGGTGGGTTCTGTACAGCCCCGTGATTAAGGGGCAGGATTTGGCTCAAGGCACAAAAGGACGTTCTCACTGTCAGGAGTGCCCAAGGATGGAAGGAAGTAGGGAGGCGAGGTGGTAAGCTCCCCATCCTCTGAGGCATGCCAGCAGGGCCACTGGTGTGGCACAAGCCATATCCTCTGTAACCCCCCAGGCTTGGTCTGTGGTATCTATGCCGGGGAGGCGGGGGGGGGGGGCGCCCTCCCTGGAGCACGTGACCTTCTGAAAGCCACGGCAGTGTGAGGGGCTCAGCAGGGCCTCTGCAGGGAGCGTCTGCAGAGATTTAGGGCCAGAGCTGTGGGTGCTTGGGTTAGCCCTGGCTCATCTCCAGGCCTTTGTAGCTCCTACGGGGAACTGTCTCCCCCCAGATCTCGGCTTAGCTCACCCCTCCTGCCAAAGCCTCCCCTGACCGCCAAAGTCTGGCATGCTCCTAGTGGATTAGGACTGTCTGGGGACTTTCTGCCTGTCCCTTGTGAGCACCAAGGAAGCAGTGCCTGTGTCCCCAGCCCTCACCATAGGGCTGGTACCTAGTGGGTGCTCCATAAATACGTCTCCACTAGAAAGGTGAGGGCTTGAGGCAAAGCATCGCCACCTGCGGGAGCCCTGAGACGTGAGGCCGGAGTGGCTGGAGTGGCCCCAGAGCCCCCCACGCCTGAGCCGTGCCCCCCTCACCTGGAGCACGATGGCTGGCACTGAGAAGATCATGGCTTCGTTGAACACTGGGTTGGGGTCGTCCCTCTTCACAGCCGTCTTCTTTTTGCTCATCTTCCGCCCATCCTGAAGCAGGTACACCTTGACGAAGGGGTCTATGGGCGAGAGGTGGGGGTCAGGACCAGGGCCACACTCCCTGGGCATAGGCCTGCCCAGCCCTAGTGGCCCGCTGGCTCCACATGCCCCAAACCTTCACTGCTGCCACCATCTCCTGCTGTCCTGCCACTGGGCCTCTATTTCTTTCCTATTTTACAGATGAGAAAACTGAGGCTCACGCACAAGTCAGGAGAAGAGCGGGGCTTTGGGCTCAGGCAGCCCGCCTCCTGGCCCCCACACGTGCACCCCGCCCATGGCGCTCAGCAGAGTCGGCAGACCCACCACTTCTCATTCTATAATGAGCACAGACGTCAGCCCTGAGTCACCCTGCGCCCGCTCAGTGGAGCCTGACTCTGAAATAACAAGTCGCTCTCTACTTGTCACCCTCCGCCCACTGGGTGTCCTTGCTGTACCCGCCTGGACCCTGGACTCCCCCCAGCTCCCGGCAGGTCGGGCTCCCCCCCCAAGCCCTCTGTTTTCAGTTCTGTTCTTGCAGGCTGGGGGCATCAGGTCCTGCCCAGTACCCACACCATCCTGGGGGTCCTGGGATCTGGGATGCAGTCCAACTCCTGGGAATGGAGCCTCCACCATGAATTCTAGTTCTGGGGAGCAGGTGTCCACCTTGGTTTCTTCCTAGTGCCCCAGCCTCCTGCTCTCAGACTCCAGTCTGTCCCTCCCGGGCATTCCCTGCCACCCTCGGCTGCTCTCACCTTTCCCCAGCTAGACTGATTTCCCCACTGTGCACGGCTCCTGAGCTCAGCCAAGACCGGGGGTGGAGGGGCCTGGCACCGTGCCCCACACCTGCTGATGCTCCCAGGTGTCCCCGGCTTATCAGCTGGGCCACCGCTCCCGGCAGCCCACTTGAAAGAGCCGGGGAGCCAGCAGGGCCTTACCTGCTGTGGTCTTGTCGTTGGTCCAGATGAGATTCTTGGCTTTCACCACCACCACCGTGAGGCGCTCAGCCGTCGGGAGGTAGCTGAGGGACAGCAAGATCTCGCCCACAGCATCTGCAGCCTGGAGGACACGTAAGTGACTTAAGGGCTTGAGGGAAAGGCAGAAGCTTCCTTCTCCACTGAGAAGTTGTTGCTCTTGCCTTTCTACCAGGCACCGGACTGGTGGGATTGAGAAAGGGACCCCAATCCCCCATTCCGTGAGGGGTGCGTCATGTCTCCCTCCTACCGGGTGTGGGTCCTGCCTTGGAAGGAGGGCCAGAGGTCGCCTGTCAAATGTGGCCACCAAACGCAGTTAGGGTCCCTCTTTCCAGTCCAGGGAAAACATTCTGTGTAGTAGCACATAGAGGTCCCAGGGGACTGGGACTGGGAGATCATTTGCTTAAATAACAGTGATGCTCCCTAAGCACGCCTACACTTAGAGAGGTAAACTTCAGCTCGGCCTCTGTCTGGAATAACTCCCTTTAGTGCCAGAGCACCTCCCAGCAGAAACCCTCTAGGAGTAGAGCTTCTGAAGGTTTGGTGGTTGGAGCAGAAGAGCAGTAAACAGTGGTTAGAGCATCTTCGTTTCATGCGGTAAACGGAGTTTCCTTGAACGCGGCTCAGGCCTCTTTCGCTCATTTCCTAAAGATGCCGGGGTTTGGGCTATTGTGGACAGTGGGGTCCTCCCTCTGCGAGAGGTGTGTGTGACCCTCTCTTCACGGGTGGACTGACCTTGTTCTGGTCCTGTAAGTAGAGCCAGCCGCTGAAGGGCTGCAGTGGGAGGTCGAGCACAGAGAGCTTCAGCTCGACCACCCCCGTGCTGACATTCCGCTCATCCTCATCGATGCCAAACACAGAAAACCGCAGGCTCTTCTCCTCCAGGGCGGCAGGGTCCAGGGGGATGGAGAACTTCTCATCGAAGAATATGGAATAGGCATTCCTCTGGATCTGTAGAGAGAAGGGGACATGGAGGGAGCTCTAACTCTGGGAAGGTGGTGGCAGGCAGGGGCCTATGGTGGGGAGAGAGCACTGGGCAGAGAGTCCAGAGGCCTGGGCTAGAGTCCTGGCTCTGCTGCCCCACAACCTCAATGCCAATTCTTCCTTTGGTGGCTCAGCCCTGAGAACTTCTTTAAAATTATTTATTTATTTATTTTAAGTAGGCTCTATGCCCACCGTGGGGCTTGAACTCACGACCCTGAGATTAAGAGTCATGTGCTCTACTGACTGAGCTAGTCAGGCACCCCAGCCCTGGGGATTTAAAAGCCCCCGCCTTCCTCTCCGTGGTGGCCAATCTGGGTAGTGTGGCATTTGAAGCTTCCAGAATCTGACACCAACTAATTCCCAGCCTCAGTGCCCATGGCTCCACAGAACCCTTGTGATGTCCTGGTTGGACCGGTTTCCTCTTTCTTGCACGAGTTCAGGTCCAGCTGTGGGCCAGGCGTGCAGTAAGTACAGATAATCGTGGAGTTGGGAGCTGCTGATGTCCCAGCCCCCGCAGAGCCTGGCCCAGGATGGTCTGAATGTGTGGGATGGATGGACGGATGGAGTGACGAGGCGAGGCTGGGCAGACTCCACTTCCAAGTCCAGTCCTGCCTGGTGGGCGCCTTTGGCCTCCTCCCAGGAAGCCGTGGGCAGGCCCCCTGGGAAGGTGCCCTGGCGGGCACGGCTCCCCCTTCCATTGGGGGCTGCCTTAGTCACTGCCTGGCAATATTTAGAGAGGAGCTCTCATCCCTGGCACCGTGCCTGAAGCTGGGGGGGTTGCCCAGCCTGGGGCAGCCACCTACCTACTGGGAATGACTGGGCTACAATGCTAAGAAGCCTGCCTTCTTGGGAATAAATCCACCAACACCTCCTAGCGCACTGAAGCACGCTCTTTGGTCACTGCCTGGGTTGTGGGAAGGTTCTTCTGCCACCGCTCCCTGGGAGCCACGTCCCACATCCAGTTCCCTGCCTGAGGATCTTCAAGGGCTCCTTCCCCTGTGGAATAAAGTCCACCCCCTGATCTTGACCTTGGCATTCAGCCTCTTCATGATCTCCCTTCTCCTGTCAAATGGGCCACTTTGCTGTCCCTTGCCCACAGGGGCTCAGGTTCCCTGACCATCCATTCTCTGTGTGTTGTGCTTTATGAGCACATGGGGGGAGGAAAATGGGAACTCCAGGGCCACGTCCTGGATCTCCTGCTCACTTGCTGGCGTTGTGTTGGGCAGAGCACTCTCTTGAACCTCCTCATCTGTAAGATGCCCTCGGTTCATCCCACTGGGGCGAATGAGAGAATCACGGATGTATGGGCTCTGTGAACCAGGTTCTGAGCACACATCAGGCTGTGGTGGTTCCTGTCTACCAATGTCCCTCTTCAAGGAAGGTGTCCAGAACCACTCAGGATCTTCTAGGCAGTCCAGGCCATTGACAGCGTGGATCCAGGCTCAACAGTGACACTTCATGGTCCTGAGATACAATCTATTGAACGCTTACCAGGGACTGGGCTGAGTTATTTGCATATATTAATATATCCCTTCCTCAAGGATTATGGTGCCCATTTGATAGATAGGGAAATCGTGTCACAGAGAGCTTACATGACTTATCCAAGGTCACGCTGCTAGGAAGTGGGAAACTGCTATTGGAACCCAGAGAGTGAGGTTTTAGGGTCCTGCTCCTCACCACCCACTGGACTGCTTCTCTTGGGCCCCACATGTACTGGGCCGTGGTCAGTTGCTGACCATCCAGGAGTGAGGGGGGCAGCGTGGGGTGGGAGAGGGATGACACTGTCCACCACGGAGGAACAGCCAACTTCCGCATGGTTAAGAGTGACTGGACACAGATGGGTTTCTGAGGAGTCAGAAACCACTTGGTCCTACAAGCCCTCAGGTTCTTTCTACTCCAGTTAGAGGCCACGGGGTGTCAACCTTGCCCACCTCAGAGGACTCCCAGTCATGGCGTCTGGACCCCTTTTACCCCTAATCCAGCCTGGAGGGGAGTGTGTCTCATGAAGGCTTTGCTCCCTCTTGGCAAGACAGAGGGACCCGCGAGGGGTAGCCTGGTGTGGGAGGGTGCTGGGTGTCTCCCCTTGCCCTCCCCAACCTGCTCTCCACCCCAGGAACTGACCTCTATCAGCTGAGCAACAGGCTCCCTTGGCCTCTGGCTTCTGGTGGGATCAGACAGTAGGGGTCACTCAAGGGAAACCAGAGGTCAGCGGGAGCTCGGGGTGCTTATTCCCTAGGTCCTTCTCTGCAGTACTGTGTAGTCTGACCATGTCATGTCCCTTGACCAAAGGACACAGCGTCTATCAGGGTGGCCCCTCCACATGCCTCTCTCCTTTTGGGTCCAGTAGCCTCCCCTTCCCCTTATCCCTTCAGAAGAGGGTCCACTCCATCTCTGACATCACCCTACGCCCACCCACACCATTGTTTGTTTTTCTTAAGATTTATTTATTTATTTTAGAGAGCGGGGGCAGGGAAAGAGAGAGCGGGGGGAGGAGGAGCAGAGGAAGAGGGAGAGACAGAATCTCAAGCAGATTGCCCGCTGAGCGAGGAGCCCAACACGGGCTCGATCCCACGACCCCGAGATCATGACCTGAGCCCAAGTCAAAAGTCAGATGCTTAACCGACTCAGCCACCCAGGCCCCCCCTCACCCACACCACTGTTAACAGTTCTGTTATTAAGCTCTCCCCAAATTAGCCAACTTGAACATGTCATCCCTTTCCTGCCAGGACCCTAAGCTGACCCAGGGGACAGGTGTGGAAATGGACAATTACCACACACTGGGCTCATGTGGTAGGATTGCCAAGAACTGCGCACGATGTGAGTCCTCAGGTTAGCAGCACCTTCAGCTCTGGGATTAGCATCCAGAGCTGCCCTGCGGCACCCTCCTCACATCCGGCCTGGCCCTGCAGACCCGCCTGCCTGGGGAGGACTCCCGGGAGCCCAGAGCATACCCCTGCCCCGGCCCCCACTTACCCGGGAGATGCCCACGATCTGCTCATCGGGCAGCAGGCTGACGCGCATGAAGCAGGACTCGAAGCCGGCTTCTTCCCGCTCCAGGAGGTCCTTGCCCTGCAGCACAGCCACGTGGAGGGTGTGGGAGGCCGCATCGTAGTCCATGCTCACCTCCACCTGGCCCAGTGTGAAGTCCTGCCCGAAGGTGTTGCTCACGGAGGAGATGGAGTTCAGGGAGTCCGCCGACTGGGACTTGCGGAGGGTCCCGTAGGGGGCCAGGTCCAGCTCCCGGCCCATCAGCTCCAGGGGCCCCAGCTCGCTGATGCTCTCAAAGGTGTCCTCAATGCTGAGGCTGCCTTTGCGACTGGGTGGTCCCCGAGTGCTGGCCCGCTGGGCATTCCAAGCAGGCACTCTCTGGGGGTGAGAAAAAGGAACATAGGAGCATCACAATGCAATAGGCATGGTCTTGTGAGCCTGGTTCATTCGAGGCACCTCTAGTTCTCTTTTTGCAGAAATAATGCATGCCTTAGTCAGGAAGGTCCTTGATTTTTTGTTTGTTTTTTTAAAGGATTTATTTATTTATCTGGGGGGAGAAGGAGGGAGGGGGGGGAGAGAGAGAGAGAAGAGTACAAGCAAGGGGAGGAGCAGAGGGAGAGAACATCCAAGCAGACTCCCACTGAGCATGGAGCCCAGTGTGGGCCTCGATCTCACAACCCATGGGATCAGGACCTGGGCCAAAACCAAGAGTCCAATGCTTAACTGACTGAGCCACCCAGGCGCCCAGGAAGGTCTTTATTTAATGCTATTTTGTGTCACTCAGTTTTCTTTCCCTAACCACAAGGGAAGAAAGCTTTTTCTCAAAATGTTTAGTGATGTGGACTGAGTTCCATACATAAAGATGTTCACTGTAATGATGTTTATAAAAAGGGAAAGTAGTTAGCAATCTAAGGCTCCAGTGAAAGGGGAATGGGTAAGAATCCTAGAGTAGAGCTATTCAACAGACGATCGAGCAGCCTCAAAGGATGTTTACCAAAACATTTACAAAAGGAGAAGTCTTCCATGTTGGATAACACTTGCCCTAATATTCAAAAATTTCTTTTCCCTAAACTGACCCTGGGATTTGAGAAAACAAAAGCCTTTGTACCATTAAGCATCTCCCATGCTGCTGCATAGTCTTCATTACCATAATTTTTAATGGGCCCCCAATCTGTCATTGAATGGATAGCTGTAATTTACTTTACTATCCCCCTACTGTTGTACATTTATGTTGTTTCTTATTTTTCACAAATATAAATAATGCAGGATCAAATAGCTTTCTTAAAATCCTAGCTCAGAGGACCTGGTCCTTTTGAAAGCTGTTGACACATGTTGCCAAAATGCTCTTTGGAAAAGTTGTGCCAATGTACTGTCCCCCCCGCCACCACAGAATGAGAGATAATCCCCTCACACCCCAAATGAATGAGCATGTGGGACCCCTATCCAATAACAGATTCTGGCTGTGCTCTCTGGAACTCTACATGATGTTAGAAAAATTCTCTGCCAGTGTCTAATGATGAAACATGCAGCAATATATTTCAAGAGCCCTAAAAATGTTTGTACTCCCTGATATAGTATCCTACACCTGGGCATCCACTCAAAGTACATAATCCCAAATGAAGACAAAGTTTTACATATAAACATTCACTGCATTATTTATAATGGCACTTAGTAAATCATGGCACGTACATAAAAAGGAATCCGACACAGCCATTAAAATGATGTTTATGGGGCCCCTGGGTGGCTCAGTTGGTTAAGCGTCTGACTCTTGGTTTCGGCTCACATCATGATCTCAGGGTCATGCAGAGTCTGCTTAAGACTCTCTCTCCTTCTGCCCCTCCCCCGCTCTCTCTCTCTCTCTAAAGTAAATGAATAAATCTTTAAAAAAATGTTTTATGATGGAGGCTCAACAATATGGGAAAATGCTTTAGCTGTGAGTTAAAAAGAGCAGGGTATAAAATTCTATGTAGAATTGACACCCGTCGTATAAAAACTATGCACGGTAAAAAAGACTGGTGGGTAGATTAAAAGTACTGGAAAGAAATAAATCAAAATGTTAGTAGTTAAAATACAGTTCACAGTTATTTGCCTCTGGGTGGTGGCATGTGGGGAGAGGTTTTTCTTATTTGTATTTTCCTGTTTTTCTCACAGGATGGTTTTTAAAATTGAAAACATTCATTCCCTCACCAAGTATCCCCTGATTTCACAGCACTGGGCTATGGTGGAGACACGGAGGGGGACAAGGGTCCCTGTTCACAGGAGGAAGTTAACCAGGAGAGAACAAGGGAGTGGGGAGGGAGGGGAGGCCATCTTGAGAGAGCAGAAACCTCACCTTCTGCTTGGCCTCTGCGTAGGTCTCCCCGTACTTCTGCTGAAGGTACCTGTAGTCGTAGTTTGGGAACGGGGAGGGGCTGGGGAAGCTCCCCGATGTCCAGAGCTTCCACAGGCTCACCGCTGCAATTCCCAGCAGTGCCAGGGCCCCAGCAGTGTAGACACCCACCTCCCAGCCAGGGGGGCTCTTGATTACTGCAAGGCAAGGGCAGCCTCTCATTAGTAGGCTCTGGGGTCTCCCAGTGGTTACAGACTCCCACCCAAGGAGCAGGTAGTTCAGCACTGACTTCTTTATTCACTGAACAAATATTTACTGAGTGGCTACTATGTGCCAGGCTCCATGCTAGGTGCTAGGGGATCCAGGGTTGAATAAGACATATGTACTCTGTGATTTCTGCTTCTATCCCCTTTTTCACAAAAGCATGCATTTCTACTGGAATAGAATGGTGGTAGAGACGCTTGCCTAGATCAGACGAAGAGTTGTGAACAATGGTTAAACATTCCCTAGGCTTTAAACAAATTCTTCCCACTTTTGAGTTCTCTGACCTTATAGCCTTCCAAAGACCTCTTACTTCCAGATAATCAAAGCAGCCTTTTGAGGTCTGGGGGAAGAGGGAAGGGGTTTGGGGAGAAAAAGAAATGACCCCGTTTTTGCCTCAACCTTATCTAGAACAACCCAATGTCCATCAACTGATAGATGGATAAATAAAATGGAGTCCATCTATACAATGGAATATAATTTGGCAACATAAATGTACTGGTACATGTTGTAACATAGATGAGCCTTGAAAACATCATGCTAAGTGAAAGAAGCCAGTCACAAAAAAAAAACACATGTTATACGATTCTATTTATATGAAATGTTTAGAATAGGCAAATCCATACAGACAGGAAGTTGATTAGTGATTGTCTGGGGGGTTAAGGGGGCAATGCAGAATACAGGGTTGCTCTGGAGGATGATGAATGTATTCTTAAAGTTAAAAGTGTTGATGGGTACAAAATAGGTTAAATCCACTGAATTGTACTCCTTAAGCGGGTAAATTGTATGCTATGTGAATTTTATCTCAATAAAGCTACTGCCAAAAAAAAAGTCTCAGCCAGAAGTGAGAGGTAGCTTTTTGGCAGTGCAGGGCTTGGGCACAAATCCAGATGCTCAAATGCTCTCTCTCCACTGATAAGTAAAGAACTTTCCCTATCTGAGCCTCACTGTCCCCAGACATAGTAATTAACCGCCCCCTCACCTGTGTTGGGTGAGCTCTCACCTAGCAGAAGTGACCTTCTGTTGGCCAATATAATTCTCTAGACCATTCTCAGTGCTGCCTCTATACTCAGTTCAAATGAGGAAACTGAGGTGCACAAAGGATAAAGAACTTGCTCAAGGTCACAGAGCCAGGAAGGGGTGGTCCTGGGATTCTAACTCAGGCAGCCAGACTTCAGAGCAAGCAGGAGTCTCCTCTGCCCCACCCAGCCTCGACCCAGCACAGTTCCGAAGTAGCAGGGTGGAAAGAGGTGGGAGGGCACTTCAGGGGCGGAGATGTATCACCGCAACATCTGTTGAACACCTACTGTATGCGAGGGAGTCAGCCCCAGGGCCAGTCCCTGTCCTTAAGTAGCTCACAGTCTAGGGATGAGGTGAATAGGCAAATAAACAGACAAAACGGAGTGATGAGAACAGTCCAGGAGGGCTTCCTGGAGGAGAGACATCTAGGCTGAGATACGAAGGAGGAGCAAGAAATGTGCCAGGCCAAGGCTCCAGGGACTGGGAGTTTCGGGCAAGAAGAGGAGAGGATGTACAAAGCCTGGAGTGTTCAGAGTGTCCAATGGGAGAGAAGGAGTGGGGCATTTGGGGCTGGGGAGCTCCTTGCCACCCCTTCCCTGAAGCCAGGCTGCAAAGGGATCACACAGCAGTGGCAGCCCCTCTGGCAGTGGGAGACCTCAGCCTGCCCCTGCTCTCTTGAGCCTAGCCAGAATCCACAACACTATCACATTCGGGAGCAGGGCAGGGCCCGGCCTGTAGCCCTGGCATTTATCCAGAACTCAGCATCCTATGATCTCCCTACCTCCACCTGCTAGAGGAGGACAGCTGAGGCTGGGAGAGGCTAGAGAGCATGCCCAGCCATCGGCCCAAGGCCACGGGGTAAGAAATGCAGAGCCTGGCTGCCACCTTGACACCATGAACTTGAGCCTCCCCATCCAGAGAATGGACATGACCACATCCCCCTAAGCAGACGGTCCCGCCCTGGGGAATTTATCTTGCGGGGGCAAAAATCCCAGGAAGTTTTATATCTGGTGTGAGTCATCGAGGTTGTATTTATAACATCAGAAATCTGCAAACAGCCTGGCGGGGTCACTGGGGCCAGGTGGTGCTGACTTGGGAGGGAAATATCACTGGCCTTTGAGAATTTAGGTCATTAGGATGTCACTGTGGCAAAGCAGGAAGACGTTTTCAGGCATTGTTGAAAGAAAAAAAAATGAATCCACGACATGGTCCAACCACACAGTTTGACGTAAAAATCACACAGTCTATGGACAAGGACTGGGTGGGACGAGGGACAGATGAGAGGAGCAAGAAATCAGGATGGAGGGGCTGTGAGCAAACTCTGTGTTCTGATCTCTGTTGACAGAATGTAATTTGTGGGCTAACCGAAACCACAATAGAGATCTACAGTGGGCCCCAGGCAAGCCCTGCTGAGCCAGGAAAGTTCTGGGAGTCTGGTGAATAAGAGATGGCCTGGGAATGGGCCTGGTAAACTGGTGAGTGAGGTGCACATGTGGGGGCTCCGGCCGGGATGTGACTCGGTGGGCTCTCAGCAGGGCCTGGGTGGTTCCCAGGGGCAGGCAAGCGGGTGGGCACTGAGGTCTGAGGTCCCCGCAGACGATGGGCAAGAGCCAGGCTCCCCTGAGAGTTAGGATCCCAGGGGGGCTGAGGGACTGAAGCCAGCTTCCTGGTTAGCAGAAAAGGGGGGCAGAAGAGGAAAAGCCCCAGGAAGGTGACGCAAAATGATGCCTATTAATGCAAGTTTATTTATCCATTTTATTGACTGCCAGCCTCGGGTGGTATGGGAAGAATTCCTAAGGGAAGCCAGGTCTCCGCTGGGACCAGAAATGAGGAGGAGGAGGCAGTGGAGTGGCAGGTAACAAAAGCTTCCTTGACTGTCAACTATTCGCCAGGCCCTGGTCCAGCACTTGATTGTAGATTAACCACTGAGACCCCAGAAGCTGAGGGGCCGAGGAGACATTCGCTGCCTGCCAGTCTGGCACTAGATCTGGCCCCTGGGGCCTCCACACCAGTCTCGAGGGCTTAGCCAGGCAGAGGCAGGGAAGGATTCTGGGCAAAGGGAAGGGCACGGGCAAAGGCCTGAGTTGGCATTTTATGTAAGTTTGGTCACTGAATCTTCCCAGCAGTCCTTGAGGGAGGCCTCACTGCCCCCATTTTGCAGATGAGTAAGTGGAGGCTCAGAGAGGTGTCATCACTTGTCCAAGGCCATGCCAGTTCCTAGCCCCATGTCCCCAAGGCTGTGGGACCTTGGGCAAGTCCCTCTCCTTACTGGTAAAATAGGGCCATTGCTGGCATCCCACTGACCCCCCCCACCCTCCCACCCCAGGCCTGGTGGGAGGGCCATGTGAGATGACAGGCTTCTGCTGGGACTCACCGCTCAGGTGGTATTCAGCCACATCCATGGCCATGATGCCCACTGAAGCAGCTGGGCCTGGAAGGGGAAAGAGAGTCAGCAGAGGGGGCTTTGGAGGGCCACCAACCCCAACCCTATGCCTTGACCTTCCTGATGCCCATGGGCCTTCCGGAGCTCACACTCACTTGTGAGGAGAGCTCAGCCCAAGGTAGGTGGCTTTTAAATGGCATTTTTATTTTTTTAAAAATGATTTTATTTAATTATTTTTCAGAGAGAGAGCAAGAAAGCGCACACACAAGTTGGGGGGATGGGAGGAGGGGGCAGAGGGAGAAGCAGGCTCCCTGCTCAATCCCAGGAGTCTGGGATCATGACCTGAGCTGAAGGCAAACGCTTAACCGACTGAGCCACCCAGGCACCCATTAAATGGCATTTAAAAAAAATGGTGTTTAAAGCTCTTTTCAACCACTCTAAGACCATCTTAATTTCCGGGTTGCCAGATAAAACACAAGATGTCCAGTGACATTTGAATTTGATTCATTTTTAGTATAAGTATATCCCAAATATTGTCTGGGACATACTTATACTAAAAAAAAAATTATTCATTGTTTATCTGAAACTCAAAAGTTCCTGGGCATCCTGCATTTCTATTTGCTAAATCTGGCACCCCTACCTCATTTCCATCCAACCAACTTCCTACCAGCAACAATTCTTTGATTCTTTGCTACTCATTAGTGTGGGCCCTTGGGGTGTTTGCTAAGCCTTACTCCAAAAGCTTTTGTTTCAACTGGAAAGGAAAGGCTGCATTTCTGTAATATTCTATTATCAGTCCTTTCACTGCTCAGGATGGTTTCCTCCCCACCCCCACCCCCCCAATTCCAAGTGTTATGGATGTTGAAGGTCTGACTTAGTTGTTCTAGAAAGGTCTGGGAGTCATACAAGCCATTACCTGAACCCGGGTGACTGCTCATAGTTTTATTACTGTTGCTGAGAAGTAAATTTGTCTCACAGACATGAGCTAAGGGAATGGAAAAGGGAGACTGGGATAACCCTATGGGCCTCAGCTCCAGGGGCACGGGAGGACAGGAGAGCCCCGCCCCCCCCAGAGGTGGTCGCAAACAGGTCAGGGTATTGCTTGCCCACCCAAGGGCCACTGTTTTTCTGTTCCTGTTGGCAGGAATGCCAACCTAGCATTGCTGGATCTTCTGGCTTTATATGATTTTATTTTATTTTAAAAATATTTTATTTTCAATTAATCTCTACACCCAATGTGGGGCTCAAACTTACAACCCCGAGATCAAGAGCTGCGTGCTCTACTGACTGAGCCAGTCAGGAGCCCCAGTCTCCTGGCATTTTATTTTATCTCTCTCTCTCTCTCTCTCTCTCTCTCTCTACCTACCTACCTACCTACCTTCTGTCTTTTTAAAGAAAGGCCAGATACCTGGACTTTTTAATGTGCAGTTTCTTGATTTTTAAATGTTGTAACTAATTCACAAAAAATGTAAACACTGTCCAGCCACAGAGTAAAAGGCTCCAGGGCTGTGGCTTGGCTAGCCTGTTTGCAACCCCTGGAAGGATCCTGTGGGTTCCCTTGGGGACTGGGGTCAAATCAGAGGGTAAGCATTTTCCTGAATGCTGGGGTTCTCCCCAATCTATGGCTCTAGAGCCGAGAAGTTCGGGTGCTTTGGTTCAGACAGGGTTATCCAGCACACACTGGAGTGCCAGAAGTCTCAGGGCAGGAGGCCTTCAGAAATGGGGCAGGACAGGGCGCCTGGGTGGCTCAGTTGGTTAAGCGACTGCCTTCGGCTCAGGTCATGATCCTGGAGTCCCTGGATCGAGTCCCGCATCAGGCTCCCTGCTCAGCGGGGGGTCTGCTTCTCCCTCTAACCCTCTTCCCTCTCGTGCTCTCTGTCTCTCATTCTCTCTCTCTCAAATAAATAAATAAAATCTAAAAAAAAAAAAAAAAGAAAGAAATGGGGCAGGACAGAGCCCTGGGGCAAAGGTCTGTCAGGTGCCCAGATAGCTCCTTGCTCCCAGCTACCCTGATCATGATCCAGTAAGACGTGGGTCTTCCATGGTGATAGAAGGGAGGTATTAACCAGGGAGGCTTCACTGTTGCTGACTCGAACGGGGAGCTCATTCCTGGGACCCTGGGCTGTCGATCTTGATGACAGTTAACCCTGATGAGCACTCTTTATGCCCGAGAACACGGTTCTAAGCATTTTGCATATATATTAACTCATTTAATCCTCTAACCACCACAGGAGGTAGATACTATTACCATTTCCGGTTTGCAGAGGAGAGACCTGAGGCCCGAAGGGAAAATCATTTGCCCCAGACCACACAGCTAAGAAACCAGTCAACCCGGGCCATCTGGCTCCACACTCCTAACTTCGTGCCTTACTGCAGACAGGCATATGGTTTCTGAACTTTCCTAAGAACGTGCAGGCCAAACTGGTCACTGTGGACAAGTCCAGGGTGGCCCTAGTTCCCGGCAGAACAGGGTCTGGACACACCAACACACACACATTAGGGTGAACACACATGTCCCAGCCCACCTCTGCCTTGCTGGGAATCTAGTAATGCCATCAGCTTTCTTTCCGGCTCACTTGGCACAAGGCTGACTTCCAGAGCGAGGCTGCCCGGGGACAGCCAATGCCAGCAGCAGGCTGGGTACACCCCTGTGGCAAGTACCACCTGGTATGGGACAGAACCCCGTATCTGCTCTATCCGACCTAGAGCCGTTGGGGGCCCCCAGCCCTCCGAGGCTGGTCCAGCTCCGACCCCAAACTATCACACTGCCCACTTTTCCCCCACCCCTCATTCTAAGACCCCTTCCCCGGGAGCTGTAATTTCAGTGAAAGTGTGAATGATTCTAGGCACACCCAAGCCCCAAGTTTCTGCAGTGGTCCCCAGGGAGGTGGCAGAAGCCAGACCACATCTGCCTGGAGGGAGGGAGCGAGGGAGGGAGTGGGCAGCCTGAGCACAGCTCTGAATTCCAGATCTTTCCCCTCACTAGCTCTGAGCCGCAGTCATCCCATCTGTAAAATGGGGCTCATGACTGCCTTATCAGGGTGCCAGGAGGGTAGAATGAAAAGTAAGGGTAGTCTGGCTTGGTAACTATTAGCTGCTGTGGTTACTGGGCCTGACAATCGTCCCAAAGGCCCTCAAACTAACCCCTAGTTTGAGCAGGAGAATTGTGGGGGCCGCACTGCCAGCCTGCAGATATGTTTTATTTGTCTTCAAAGGGAGTTGCCAACATTTAAAAACTGGGAAAATTCCCATTAAAAATAGATTTCTAAAAAAAAAAAAAAAAAGCTGGATTTACAGCTTCCCTTTAGAAGTTAGAAGATCTGGGGGCAGGTGGGTTGGTCTCCCTCCACCCCTGCAAAATTACCAAATTGTGAGTAGGCTCTGCCCCTTCGGACAGGGTATTTATTCCTCAGGACTGGCCCCTCCCCTTCCTCCATTCACTTCCAGAACCTGCCGGCCCCTGGAGCATCTCCATTCATGAGCCCGGTAAGCAGGCTTTCGGATGAGCTATGAGAGGTCCAGAAAGGTTCAGTGATTTGCCCAAAGCCACAGAGCCAGCAGTGGTAGAGCTGGTCCTGCAACCCTACCCCATTAGTAGCCACAGCCCCCACAGATTTCACATGTGACTCCCGCAACACCTCCCCCAAGACCCCAATGGGGCACAGCCTATTATGAACCTCGGTCCACAGTGGAGGAAGATGAGGCTCAGAGAAGGGCAGTGAATTTGCCCAAGGTGAACCAACCAGTAAGCAGGGAGTTGAGACTGAGCCAGAGCTCAGCAGCAAGTGGCTTTCCTCACCAGCCCGGAAACGCCCTGGCTCCATCTCATGGACCACAACCTCAGCAGGCTCCCATCGCCAGCCTGGAGGTCCGCCCGGCAGAGGGGCTGCAGCTTCGGCTCGGGACAGGATGCTGACAAGGCACATCGGGAAGCCAGGGCAGCCTATGATAGAGCTCCCCTGAGCTTCTGATACACAGGAAACGGGGCTCAACCCGGCTGAGCCAGAGCTGCCCCAAACTCACACCCGAGCTCCTCAGATGCATGTCCCCCTCTCTGGCACCCTTTCCCATCCAGTCTATTAATTCTGGCCCCAACCCCCGAAACGCGAAACTGCATGGGGCTTGCTCACTGGAAACCGCTCTAAGCTCAAATCCAGGCTTAATCATACCTACCTGGCAATAACTACCGATTGCTGTAAGCATCAGACATAATTTATGCTAAGTGCTCAGCACGGAGCCTAGACTGGACTAGGCACACGATACAGACACGATGCTTGACTGGATAAATGGGTCCCCATTTTCAAGATAGGAAGCGAGGGCCCCAGGTCACACAGATTTGAGTAGCAACCCTGGGATTGGCGTCAAGGTGTGATGGATCTGGGCCTGGGCTCTTGGCCGTCATGCCACCTCCTGACCAGGCCTTTCGGGGGGTGGAGGTGGGTGGGAAGAGTTGTCACTGGTCTTACTGGAATCTGACTGCAGTCGAGGCCCCCTCCTGGGCTTGTCAGAGGAATGGCTTTCCAGGAATTTTGTGCCTCTTCAGGAGAAAGGGGCCCCGTGTCTCTGCTCCCCCCACCCTATTTCCTTGCTCACTGTATCCCCACATCACATCTGTGGCTAGCAAGGTGTTGCCTGTCCCCTGCCCCCCGAGGGTCATCAGATAATAGGAAGGATTAGGATGTGGGCACAGGGCAGTCCTCGACCTCCCAGGCTGTGGACCTCTTTAGGATCTTTAGGTCTGAAATCTTTTTCAAGTGCTGCCCCCCACCGCGGAAATTACCACATCCTGCTCCCATCTCCCTAGAGCCCACAGAAACTGCAGGACAGACTGGCTAGGGTGGTGGTGGCTGGCATTTACTGGGCACCTACCATGTGCCAGGCACTGTACCAAGGCCTCGCCATGGTTTATTTCAGCAAGTCCTCCCTGCCGCCCTCGGAGGGGGCTGCTCCTCTGCCCATTGTACTGGTAAGAAAACTGACGTGCAGGAAATGACTTGCCCAGCGTCACCAGAGCCGACAAGAGGCAGAGCCCAAGCTTGAACCCTAGACTGGGAACCTCCACTCTCCCAAGCTAGGGGAAGGTTCTGGATTTCAGAGTGGGGAGGCAGGGGGCTTGGATACTTGTCTTGACCTTTCTCCAGACTGGCTAACTTGGCTGGAACTCCTGCCTGCTCGGAGCCTCAGTTTCTCCACTTCTAGTAAGGAGCACAACTGCTACTGTTCTCCAAGTCTGTCCCCCTCCCCAGCTTGGAGAAGCTGACATTGCTGGGTGAAGGTTTCCCAGTCACGCTGGGGTGGCCTCACTGACAGAGGAGGGGGGCACAGAGTCACGCAGCCCTGGAAGAGGGGTCACCAGGATGGCTGGCTCAGGGCTCCTCCACCTACAGGCCTGGCTCCAGGTCCCCATGTTGGGCCCCACTCCCACCCCCTCATCAGCCCAAATCTACAGTCCGAGGCCCTGAGACACAGCAAGAGCAGCAGCATCAAAGGTCCCCAGGAGCCCCCGGAAAGCCCCACACGAAGGCCAGTGACACTGGACGGGGCTGAGGATCCTCTCCCGAGCTCCCGGGGCCTCCCAGCGATGGGGTGTGACATGCCTCTCCGTATCGGAGCATTTCCTGAAGACCCAGCACCCCTGCCAAGGGAACCCCCAGGGTGTATGGGGACGCGAATGTGGGGGCTGACGTGGGAGAGTCGGGAGAGGGTGTGAGATGGGGCAGGGGCGGTGGGGACAGTCAGGATGCTGAGTGTGAGAGTGAGGGGCGCTCGTGTAGCGCGGGCGCCGGGGAGGCGTGTAAACGGCCGGGGGAGTCGCGTGTGTGCACACGCGGGACGGGCGTGCGGGGCGCGCTGTGATGCGCAGTGAGCGGAGTGGCCGGGCCGGGCAAGGGCGCCCGGCGTGCGTGTGCAAGCGCGGCGCGGCGCGGGTGTGCAGGGTGCGCGGAGGCCGGGGTCCGCGGCGCTGGGAGGGGGCGCTACGTGCGTCCCCGCGCCGGACGGGCTCCGGGTGGTGCGCGGGGGCGGCCGGGTGCTACTCACCCAGGCTCCGCGGAGGGGCCGCCTCTCAGCTCCCGCTCGGGCTCCGGGCTCCCGGCTCCCGACTCCCGGCTCCCGGCTCCCGGCTCCCGGCTCCCGGCTCCCGGCCGGCCTCCTGCAGCGCGCACGCACCGGCGCCAAGCCCGGCCGTCGCCGGCAACGCCAGGCCTGCAGTGTCGCCCGGCGGCCGCCTCGGAGGAGCGCGGCGCGGGCCGGGGGCTCGGCGGGGCCGGGGCGGCAGGCGGGAGCTGCGCCGCAGTCCGGGCACGCTCCCAGGAGCCCGCCGCGCGCTCCCTCGCGCTCGCCCGCCCCCCTCCCGCTCCCTCTTTCATTTAAAGGGACAACCCCGAGCGCTCTCTCCGCTCCCGGGAGCCACGCGCCGCGTCCGGGGTCTGAGCCCAAGATCCCCAAGCGCCCCCCGCAGTCCCGGGGGGTCGCCCGAGGCCGAGCCCAGCCCCTCACTCCCACGTCGGGGGACGAGGGTGGGGTGGGGTGGGGATGTGCTCTCCAGTGGCTTGGAGAGGCACGTGGAGTACTGGACGCAGTCGACAGGCCCGGGTTCTAGCCCTAGCCTGCAGCGCCCGGGGTTTATCCTGTTCCCTTTCTGGGCCTCAGTTTCTTTTTCCGGAAAACGGGCCTGATACTGCGCGCCTCCTAGAAACCGGTGAGAAAACAGGTGGAACAGCGGGAGGTTTCCCCTTCTCTGAACGCATAATTACCCCTCCCACCGTAATTGGGCTTTTAGGCAGGCCAACATCATCCCACTTAATGCCTACAGTGACCTAATGGGGTCGTGGTCACACCATTTTTTTTTTTTACATGAGGAAACAGGCCTCAAAGAGGTGCAATGACCTTCCCAAGGTCACAGAGCCAAAGGTCAGAGCCAAGACTTGAACCTACGTCTGTGTGACTTCAAAGCCCATGCTCTTAACCTCTTAGAGGTCGTGCTTTCTCTCCCAAAGTGATGAATGAATCATTCAGGAGCTATTTATGACGCCCCCGCTGGACTCTAAGCAGAGTGCCAGGTGTGGGCGATCTTCCATGTTCCCGGAACAAGGGGACAGGTCCCACCCTACCCTCGCAGTCTGGCAGGGAGGCACGCACGCATCAGGAGGGGCCGGGGTGTGGGGGAAGATGCCGCCTGCCGTGGGCACCTGGGACATCCTCCAGGAGGACCTGGAGGATCTGGGATGAGGTGGAGAAGAGGGGAGAGGATCTCAGTGGGGAGCAAGTGCGTAAAGGCAGCAGTGGTTCCTGGAGCATCTACCCTCTGGGCCTTTGGGGCTGAGAGCAATCTGTGGGCACTGCCCTCTCAGTAGGCGCTGGGCCTGTGCTGGCCTTGCGCGGAGGGGGCTTCCTTAGCCTAGAAGACCTGACCCTAGGGAGCCAGCGATGCAGTTTCACCCGCACCCACAGGGGGCGCCCTCGTTTTCCGCTTATTTTCCGGGCCTGAAAGAAAACAGGAAGGCATTCATTAGGACCCCTGGAGGTAGGGCCTGGGCACCGGGCTGTGGGCTTTCACTGACATTTCTCATTTAACTGAATCTTCATGGCCACCTGAAGTTTTGGAATGATTGAGCCCATTTTCCATGGAACACCGTCGGTCTAAGAATATCTTCTTAGGACACCAAAGCCTGAGGGAATGACAGGGTTCCTCTTTGGGAGGGAGTGATGAGTTAGACGCACCATCAGCACATAAAAGGGCAACTTTGATGTGGGCTTCTGTGGGAGCAGCAAAAAGCTGAAGTTGAGGCTCCTCTGGTTCTGGGGTCGGTCAGGCTGATGCAGGAACTGGAGTGAGCTTGGAAGGAGCTCTTGTAGGTTTCATGTCAAAAACCCCTCCATGAACAGAAGAGCAGAGCACTGTGCATCAATGTCAGAGGCTGCAGGTGCCTGTCAACAGTCAGGTGTGTAAATGCATCCGGGCGTAGTCACGTGGCAGGTGCACAACAAAGGGAGAGAAAAACTACCACCACTTGCAACAAGCTGGATGAATTTCACTGGCAGGTGATGGTGAATGGTGCTTATAATGTTCAGTGAAAGAAGCCAGACACAGAAGAACACGGCTATATGATTCCATTTATAGAAAGTTCAAAAAAGGGCGCCTGGGTGGCTCAGTTGGTTAGGCGACTGCCTTCGGCTCAGGTCATGATCCTGGAGTCCCGGGATCGAGTCCCGCATCGGGCTCCCTGCTCGGCAGGGAGTCTGCTTCTCCCTCTGACCCTCCCCCCTCTCATGCTTTCTCTCTAGTTCATTCTCTCTCAAATGAATAAATAAAATCTTTAAAAAATAATAATAAAAAACAGATACATTATGGAGCAAGATGCAAGATCCACATGTATAAAAAAAAAAAGTTCAAAAAAACAGGCAAAACTACTCTCTGTTGTTAGCAGTCAGGATGGTGGTTTCCAGGGGGTTGCAGCTGGAAGGGACTAAGGGGGAGTCTGGGGTCCTGCTCGTGTCCTGGCTTTGATCTGTGTTGGCTCCCGGGTGTGTTCACTTTGTGAAAATTCCCAGCGTTGGACACTTAGATTGTGTGAGTTTCTGCATGCATGATCCGCTTCTGTATACAAAAACAGAAGCACCTTGTGTGGCTGCCCACCATCCTAGAATAAAAGCCAAGCTCCTTTCTGTGGTCCATACGGCCTTGCTGTCCTCTCTGACCTGTCCTGCTGTCCTCCTCCTTACCCACCGATCTCCCACCTCTCAGGCCTTCTGGTGTTCCTGATACCTGCCAAGCCATTTTCCACCTCAGGGAGTCTCACTTGCTGGTCCCTCTGCCTGGAAAGCACTTTCTCCTGCTCTTGCCAAGGCTGCTTCCTCTATCCCCTAAACATCGCCCTAAAGCAGTCACCGAGAGGCCCTCCTGACTACCCCACAGAGAGTCCTCCACCCACAGCATGTCGTTTATTTCCTTGAAAACACCAGCCATAATCTGCAATTATTTTGTTTGTTTACAGTTCATTTTCTGCATCCCTCACTAGACTAATAAACACACACCACGCTTAGTATTTGCCAAGTGCTCTTCTGACATTATATTAAGGCATTGAGTCCCCACCCCAACGCCACGGGGAGACACTATGCTTAGGCCAATTTTACAGTTGAGGCAATTGGGGCTCAAAGAGGTTATGTAACCTGCTCATGGTCACACAGCTGGAAAGTAGCAAAGCCGGGGTTTGAACCCAGGCAGCCTGGCTCCAGAGTCTCTGCTTTAATTCTACGCTTTGACAGTTTTGCCTTATCTTCTTCCTTGTAGCTTATCTGGGACAGTGCCTGGCACAGAGTAGGTCCTCAATAAATGTTTGTTATATGAATAAATCAGAGCTCTTCAGACTCCCTCCCACCCCACCCCAGAAGCCAAGACCGCCCCAGAAGAACCTTCCAGTTCTACCTACGAGTTCTGGAAAGTTCTCTGTGCTCGGTCTCAGTTATCTCACTCCCTTCCATAAACTGGGATCATCTGCCCCAATATCACCAACTGTTGTGAGGATTTCATGGTGTAATAGCCAAGAAAACACTTTGCACAGTGTCAAGTATTATATGAATTCCAGTCCTGTATTATTATTTCAAAGAAAATGTGGGGGCAGGTAGGTAGCAGCAGCCCCCATTTGCTGAAGGCTTGTTGTATGCCATGCATGCCCTCCTTTAATGCCCCTCCAGCCTTGTGAGGCTCGTCCCCGTTTTATAGATGAAGGCACTGAGCTCAGAGAAGGGAAGCTGCTCACCCATAATGGGAATTTAAGTTCACATCTGCCTGGCCTCAGAGCTCATGCCCAGGGGCACTGGGCTGAGCCTCTCCAAAAATGAAAGAGTCGGGCGCTCGGAGGTAACAGGTCTCAAGATGAAGGGCACAGAGCAGCCAGCCAGGGCTTGGGAGAGAGATGCTAAGTTCCCTGCCAGAGCCCCCAAACTGGCTGGCTGGATTCATGCCTCCTATTTTCTTATTCACTCTGTCATACTCCAAGGCAGATGGGGAAACTGAGGCTCAGAGAGTAGGAGAGGAGTCATGCCATGAGTTAACAGTGGGTGGGTATGTGGCACACTCTGTCCCCACCCCACCCCCAAAGCCCAGGCCCTTTAGGGTGCCTGGCACCTCCCCCACCCTTTTCCCAGGCTACCCACCCCTGGTGCCCTCTTGGCCACGCTCTGCTCCTTTGCTCCTTCTCTGGCCTCTCCAACCTCAATCTGACCTTTCCCGTGGCTGGTCTGAGGTGCAAAGGCAGCCTGGGGAGACCAGCAGGGACCCCAAGCACTTGGAACTGGGTGAGGTGCAGGGGGACCCAGTCATCACTGTGCTTGGACTGGGACCCCTTAACCCCTCAGCGCCAGCGGCCTCTGGGTCTGGGGGGAGTGGCGTCACAGACAGTAGCCAGGATGTTGGGGGATGGGAGATGTGCAGAGTAAGCAAATGAGGAGGGGGCAGAGCTGGTGGAGGGGAGGGGTGCTGAACAGCAGGGGGAGACCAGGCCACTGCAGTAGGAGGGCTAATCCTAAGGCTCTCACAGCCATTTTAGTGATTTTCAAACTTTATGCCCCAAATCCTCTTTCCTTACTCTACGGAACCAATCAAAGGGATCTGTTCCCCTTGAAGCTAGAGCTTCTCCCCAGTCCTAGGGCCCTGGGAAACATAGTTTGAGGTTCCATCCGTTGAGGTCTGTTTTTTGGGGTGCCCAGGTTGTAGCTGAATAATGGCCCTCCGAAGATGTCCACATCCTCATCCCCAAACCATGAATATTACCTCACACTGTAAAAGGGAATCGCATGTTGCATGTGTGATTAAGTTAAGGGTCTTGTGATGAGAGTGTCCTCGGTTTATCACCGTGAGCCCAGGGTAATCCCAAGGGTCTTCACAGGTTGGGGGGTAGGGTGGGGGGGGGAGGCAGGAGGGCCAGAGTCAGAGACTAGGTAAGAGACAAAAGGCCACGTGATGCGGGGCCATGAGCCAAGGAATGAGGACAGCCTCTAGAAACAGGAGAAAAGCAAGGAAATGGATTCTCCCCTCAAGCTTCCAGAAGGAACTAACCCTGCTGAGATCTTGATTCTAGCCCTGTGAGACCCACTTCAGATTCCTGACCTCGAGAACTGGAAGAGAATAAATTTCAGCCACGATTCTGTGATAATTTGTCACAGCAGCAATAGGAAGCTAACGCATCCAGGGGGTCTTAAGTAACCAGCTTTGGGAAGGCCAGAAACAGGGGTGGGGATTGGGGGCACAATGCCCTCTGGGGAGGGGTCTGGGAGCAGGGCTGGCTTGAGTGTGAATCAATCCCCAAGATTCTGCTGGCCGCCTCC